CCCATCCTGTATATACAGAGATACGTATTGCACATAGGACAGAGATACATATTGCCTAACAAAGCATGCAAATAGATAATTTTAAAATTATTTGAGAATAAAAAAGGAGGTATACATACTTTCAGCTCTGTTGGAATGGCAGTTGATCTTATTCCGGGCTGAACCCATTGTCTTAAATTTTCACACAGAATGCGAGTTGCTTGTCTTGATAACCTGAAAAGTTTTAATAATTAATTACTTATTAAAAATCACTGAAAAAAATGTAAAATATTCAATGTATCGCTTACCTGTATAAGAAACGAAATTGTGTTTCTGACAAATCGAAAGGATCTGACGTATCGCGTAGACGTTTTCTTATAATACCTATTTTCCGCCGTTCCTGTCTTTCTCGTTCCTGTTTCCGTTCATCGTCTTCATTTACACAATTTACAGCAATAAACCACAAAGCAACATCCATTTTTATTGCTTTCTAATTGATTCTAGATAGATTACTGAAAAGAAACCAAACTTTCACATTTTAAGTACCTCGTTACATGCCGAAATGTTTCGCGTGAATTAGTTCACTTTTTATGACAAGCAAAAGTTGCGTGATTGTAAAACTGTCGAATTCACGTGAAAAATTTTCATTTTTTGTGCTTTTCATCTAGGGGAAAAATTACATGATCAATGCCCTAGTATAAAATTCATTGAAAGTTGATAATTGACGAATAACTACGATAAATTTTCAATTTTCTCTTTAAATAACATAATTTTTCGATGTAGCACTTTCACGTTTTATATATCATGATGAATGTATGACTTAATGTATTATTTATTTTCTCTGTTTGGTTTAGATTTAGAAACGCACGTGGAGGAAGAGGAAACGGAGGAAACCGGTGGAGAGGAGGGTGGAGAAGTGGGTGGATGGGCCCATGGACAGACGAGTGGCGTGGCCACTCTGGAAGCTAGAACCGTGGATCTGGAAGCTGGTGGCGAGGCAGATCCAGACGCGGATGGCGCGGGTCTGCAAGCGAGTGGCGTGGTGGAGCTGGAGGCGGAATGCAAGACCAATGGAGAAAAGGCTCCACTTTTATATTTAACGTTAATAACTAATTTTAATAAATTTAATCTTAATAATATATTAATATCCTATTTTAATAAATGATGTCTCAATACTACATATATAGTATTTTATTAAACTTTAATTGCTTCTCATATTTTTATTATCAAAAATCACAAAATTAAAGAAAAATTTAACATAAATTTCTTTAAAAATTTAATTAAAAATGTATACCTTTGTTCATTTTACATTATGCCGTAATTTTTCGTAAATTGTACCCTAAATTTCAAGATTACAATTTGCACACTTTCTTGCGACGATTCATAAATATAGTCTTCTCAAATTCTCAAATCATTCTCATCTTCTCAAATTATAGATGAAAAGATTGTTTTTACTGTCTAGCTTGCATTCGTGTTTAATATGCGAGTATTTTTGCATCTATTATAGTTTACGTGTAAACGCCCAACCCTGGCTTTTAATATTCAAAATAAGTTATTGGTCATTACTGTATGAAATATCTATAAGAGTTTATCATCTTTTTAAATATTAACAAAAATGCAATACTTTATTTACACACACGCACGCACACACACATACGAAATTATAGAAATAATTTATTAAAATAATTTAAATGTACATTTTCAAATTACATAGGTTATTGAAAATAACTGATCTTTTGCTAAATAAACTGTAAATGCAAAAATAAATACTACAATACATGTATTTACAATACGTGTGTATTTATATTTCAAATCTGATTGATATACATAATCATGTTTTACAAGTATGCTATTACCGACACTTTGTAGATATAGCACATATCGGAACCAAAAAGTCGTGGACATAGCACGGAAGAGACCCAAAAGATCGTGGATATTACCTACGGGATTCGTGGACATTGGCTACGTAGTTCAATGTGCACGTTTTGTGCACATAGGCCGGTATTCATAGTCCGTTCTTATATTCAAGATCGTCTTAAGTACAAACTTATATTCGCTCTCTTCGTCAGACACAATCTATGTGTGACGAAGAGAGCGAATATAAGTCCGTGCTTAAGACGATTTTGAATATAAGGACGGACTATGAATACCGCCCATAGAGGTGTTAGCCCACAGAAACACGAAAAATGCGGGCATGTCCACTCTGTCTTCTCTCTGGTTTTACTGAGGTAACAGAGTCTGGCGCTGCATGTTAACGTGTTAATACGCGATTATGTAGTTCTCTGAATTAAACTGCGTAATATTAAATTCACGAAGTATTATCGGATAGTAAAGAGTGTTTTTAGATTTTTAGATTTTTAGCAATTCAAGGCTAGTGATTGAGAGGCCAGTCGCTGATCAATTGCAGGGGAATCTGCGGAATTTTCGGTGAGAAGAGGGGTAACCTCCTTAACCTCTTCCCACGTGTCCGACATGCCTCGCTCTCGTTCTCGATCACGTTCCCGCCTTAAAGGCAACAAAAGTAACTCGAAACTAAATGTAAATGCCGGGGTAAGCAATAAGAAGAAAACTACTTCTAATCCCTTAACTATTAGTGATTTTAGTGATTCGGATATGGACATGAATGTCGATGACGATGTAACCTCCTCCAAGGTAAATAATAATTTAATTTCTAACATCACCACAGATCCTGAGACTATCTCAGACATTATCGGGGTTAACACCTCTAATAATTGCAATTCTCAAAATTACGCTACTACTTCTTCTATCCCAGCAATGACGGGAACTAAAAGA